CATCCATCCACCCACCCACACATCATCCACACACCCATCCGTCCACTTACCAACCGTCCATCCATCCACCCACCCACCCAGCCATTCATCCATTCATCTCAGGGTTTCACATGTGCTAGGAAAGTGTGCTTTCACTGAGCCACACCCCCAGCTAGGTGAGCGGATTTCCCAATCATTGCCTGGGAGATGAGCCTGATCACAGTTGTAGTAAGATCTACGCTGTGACTCCCGGTGTGTTTGGTGGTATGGTGCGTGGGTCACAATCTGGAGATTGGGACTTGGGGTCCCAGGTGGACCATCCTCATGGACAGAGCCATCCTCAGTGGTGGCAGCCTTGAAGGCGAGAAGATCAGAGGCCTGGATTTAGAGTGCTCGGGAGGTGTTGAACAGAATTGTGTGCTTAGTGATGCATTATTTGTGGAGAGTAAGTCTGGGTTCTGTTGGAAGCCACTCAGAGACCTTCGACCGCATTTCTAGGAGGTTTCAGCTAAGTGAGGTGAAGGGCAGGTAAGACCTCTTGCTGCTCAAAAGAAGGAATGCCCCAAACCAAACAGAACTGTCCTCACCAGAAGAGCCTTTGACTTCTACCATCCCCTTTCATTTACTGCAGGCACCAGCTTGGAGAGTCCCGTGAGAGCAGGACAGTAGCTTCCTGGTTCGCCTGGTGCCATACTAACGCCGTTCTCCCAGGATGGCAGCTTCTGGCCTGTTGCCCACCTGTGGTGAGTCTTTGAGGTCTTGTCCTTAGAGACTGAGTGGGTGCGGTCCCTGTGGTTTGGCGTATGAAAGGGCCTGTGCAGCCGTGAGGCAGCTGCATGGGAGGTGGGTGAGCTAGAGAGTGGCGGGAGCCCCCCGATGGCTGGTTCAGGGAGAGCACTGTGTGGCTGGTGTGGGAGGCGGGCAGTGATGGGGAACCTTGCTTTTATTCCTTATTTTGATGAATTTGAGCAAGGCAATAGCTCCACCCCCCCCCCCAAAGCTTCAGGTTTTTCATTCATGAATTAAAAACAGATACCGATTGAGCATCCATAATCCCAAAATCCAAAACCTGACACCACAGTTAGGAAATTCCACCCTGGCGCTCTTGAGTTGTAGTTAGACCTCAGGCATATTGAAAATTTCAAGTATGTAAAGTAGCTGTGAACCATGGATGAAGTTTGGGTTTAGGGTTGGGCCCCATTCCAGGACAGCTCTTTGTATCTATACAAAGCTGGAAGCATCTGAAATCTAAAGTATCTGTGGTCCTAGCTATTGGGTACTCAACCTGTGTATTGCTTCTTACAAGCATATAGACCCAACACCTGCTTTTCTCTCTTCGAGTGGAGCTGGG